TTACTGCTAATATTGTCTGAATATTGAGGACATAACCTTGCCCACGGTTCTGGAAGTCGAAGTATGATAAAGATAGACTTTCTCCACCGTGCAGACATCAGCGGCCTCGTTTTTTACCCCCATTATTCAAATGGCTTACCTTAATTATTATTTGCAAATTTTCAAGGTTGCTGTGTTTTGAGCAATGAAAATAGAAATTCTTAAACCAAATCACAATTGATCAGTTCTCAAAGGAGTTGAAGACAAGAGATTGAGAATACGTAAAGTTGTAAATCATGCAATGGTGTTTGAAACTCGTTTGTTTCACCCCTACAGTTACTTAAATCGATTAAGGCACTGAAGAATTTTAAAATTTCAAAAAAATTATCAATAATAAAACCGTACGAACAATACCACAATGTATGGCCCACTATCAATAGCCTATCAAGGTAATTAAGAAAATGCACAAACGATCACAACGTTCTCTAATCTACATCTAAACTCCTGCGCATGAATTTTGAATTGTCAACGTATGAAAAGCCGTTGTCATCAATTATTGACGGGAGGATAAAACCTTACTTTTTTAACCTCTTTTCCACCAAAGTAATCAAACTCTTTACGGATCATTGTTATTCGAACACTTCATGAAAATCTTAGTACTATTTACATTTGCGAAATCTCCAAATGTCAATTGCTATTAATTTTGTTTATCACACTTTTTATCGAGGTTAAAATTTTAAATGGCTAAGGTAAACAAAACAGAACAATGTCACATAATTTGAATAATTTCACAAAATTAAAGACAATGCAATGATATTTTCAAGAAGTTGTTTTTTCCAAGGCGACATATTTTTATTCAATGAGGATTATTCCCGATGAAAAAAACTTTTTAAGGCGGTAGGAGCAAGAATTTTGTCAAAATGACTCTTATAGGTGTGATCACTCGGGAATCTACAAATCAGATTTTGAATATGATACAACTTCCAGTAGACCCATCGAAGGAAGCTCGAATTCAGACGACTTCAATGCCACTTCTCACAATTTTCTATCACGAACTTGGCGCAATCAGCAGCCACTCGTGTTTAAGCGCATTTTCAAAATAAACCTTTCAAAAGGTCATTCTGCGTTGCCATGAGCATTAATGAGGTCAGAATTTAAATTTAGGAACAGGGAAAAGAGTCAATGTCTAACTCCATTCACCGATTCTAAACACTCTGAGCACTGCTTCTTGTTGATTAATAAGGCAGGTATACAACAGAGAGGAGTTTTATAGTCATTCTACCTCCTTGCAGATTTAAGCTACTTAAAATTGCCTAGATCTAATAATAGGTTATTTAAGTGGATATGCAAAATGATTAAGAGGGGGGGGGGGGGGGGGGGGCTTAGAAGAAACCTACACTCAACACTGCGAGCTGTTTGAGGTAGAAAAGCAGCATCCGCTGGAACGGTGCGAGAAGATGCCACCGCTGCCTTCTTATCCAGTTTGCCTTGTTCAGGAAAAGAGAGCTCTCGGCCACCCGATAAACGACGATAACGACGCAAATACATGTTGTAGAGATTCGCACCCAGGATATCAACCTCGGGATTGTCTCTGGAAAAGGAGGAAAAAAACAAGTTTGCAAAAGTTCAACAGCCATTTTTGTTGTGGAGAAAGTAAACACTTAGACTGGCTCCAACAATAAGGTGAAAGGAAAGTCGGAGGTAAGCATATATATATATATATATATATATATATATAGAGAGAGAGAGAGAGAGAGAGAGATTAGATCTAATGGGAAAAAAACATTTCCGCAAAGGCCAACATGAAGCCAGATGGATGAATATCAATTTAAAGAGATTAATGACTTGGCCGCTTTCATTTCCGACAATTAATCAGTAAGATTTAACTAGGGCGTAAGATTACCTAATTTATTAAAATTAAGAGTTTCAATATTCCAAATATAGGCCGGTGACATTTCTCATCTGAATCTTAAAATTATACGCAGCAACAATCCAACACGAAGTAAGGAATAAAATAGCAGAATAGGATGCTCGAGATTATTTGAAAATAGCCTGTTAATTTGAAACGTAACAAGAGCGGGAATATCTTAATGGATAATTGAAGTAGAAATAACTCTTTTTAAAGTTTCCAGTAAGTCTACATGGACCACCAAATTGATCTATGATTTACCCAAAGAAGTAGATTTTTCGTAGAGGCCTCGAGATACCCAATCTCTTGGCAGTCTTGCTCAAAGTATGCTCAGAGAATCGATAGGTAATTTCACTCGGTTTGCCAACCAATGCCGTGTATTTCAGAGGATATCCAGAAACTCTCTGGAATAAATAAAAAAAATCGCTGTTAAAAAATGATAAGAAGCAGAGTGCTTGCACATAGTCCTTCTATTTAACCCACTTCATACAAAGACTCCAGACAGACGAGAAAAGCGCCATGACCGAATCTAAAAGGTTTTCAAATAAAAAATATGAAATCTTGAAGCAATTGGAGATGGTGCTATGGCGATACTATTGTTTTTTTCAGAAGATAATATTTACCGAGGCATACAAGCTTGACCCATATAGAGAAGATCCATGTTGCAAGCCAACACAGGAAGGTGGTTCTCAGGACTTGTTTCAGGCTTGTGATCCGGTTTTCCATTGGTTAATAGTAGATCGATGAGCAATTGCAAATACGTTTCCCATTGGGTTGGTTCGCCCATCAATACAATGGCTAAAAGTAACCAAGATTAAGCATTTCAGCCAAATTCAAAACTAATAGTAACTAGCTACAGTGGTATAAAATGTATCGGTTAGGTGTAAACTCGTCTTTTCGAATTTAAAGCGACCAGAGGAAGTTGACAGTATTATTTACTGGATAAAATGTGCCCGTTGACACTCCTCAATAATAATTCGAATTAATGAGCACTCGCTTTACTGGCTAACTGATTGTTCTAAGATATTGACCTGATCAGTTGGGGGGGGGGGTATCACGTATCTATGATCAAAATTGCAAATACTCCGGCTCACCTTCCATTTGCGGGAAGTCCTTATTTTCCTTGTATCCTTTGGCCTAAAACAAAGTAAATACAATGCATTTACGAAATCGTTATTTTCTCGATTAATAACTAAATTTAAATGATTTAACGATTAAAAGGCAAAGTTAAATACATGAAGTTCCTCATTCAGTATGTAAAAAGTTCTGTAGGGAAATACTTCCCTTGTGTAATTTGAAAATCTAACTCCTGATATAAAAAGTTTATTAAGCCAATTTGATCCAAAATAAGTACGAAAAAACTTAAAAAGCAAACCAGATACATTTCCATTATTGTTTTATTTTCTGCAATCACTTACCACAATTTTTCGATTCTCATGATTAACCATATCGAGAAGAGGCCAAGCTTCAGCGACTTGTTCCATGGTATAGACATACTTGAAGCCGAGACCTTCTGCAATCTTCTTCATGTCCCCTTGACCTACAACAAGCACTCTTTTGTCATGCCAGTTGGTGAAACTCTGGAAAGGGCTCGGCGCGAATATCACCTGCTCCGGTTCCAGCTACATTTAAACAAAAAGAATGCTATTCAACTTCCTGGATAAATGAATTTGGGGAGAACATTTAAGTAAACTTGCGTCAATCTTAAAGATGGAAGACAGTTGTTCAGACTTTGATTTGATATCTCCACAAGCATTCGTTACGAATGCAATCGGCACTCGAAGCTTGCCATTACGTCCCTTCAGCAGATCCATAGCTTCAAATGCCTCTTTAATTGGTGTAGAGCCTCGCATAAGTACGCCATCGATATCGAATAGTAGACCAAAGCTGGGCTGTATTAAACGGATACAAACATTAGATCTAGTAATCATATGGTAAAAAGGTTCTTCTGTATATTGCAAGACGCACTTCTTTTTGTTTTAACCCAACCGGAAAGTGGTCATGTCGTTCATCAGTACTGTCGGTGCTAATGATACTAGCCCTACGCAGATCTAGTTGTTCAGCAGAGGGGATAGTGTAGAGGTCGGTAAGAGTATCTTCAGTCATTTTTTTGAGTGTGGAAACAGGAGGTGCTGTCAGCAGCTACCATGTATTTATATAGATAATCTCGAGTTCATGTAAACACGTGATGTGCATTTGGGTGTATAGTAAACATCGTTATATTCCATTTATCTAGCCATCCATCTAGGTGTGATCGCGAAATCGAGGAATTCGATTAAAAAGTGTTCATCACGCGAATTCTGATTGAGGGTGCATGAAGTGAATTAGATAAACTAATATTCACAGATGACTTGGGGGGAAATCAATAAAGAGAACAAAACAAAGAGGTCAAATAACTGAACGAATTAAAAAAAGGGTAAATTTCGATGAGCAATAAAGTTAATTGGCGGCTATTTAGCTGTCACTTACTAACGGATGCTGAATGTTTGCCAAATTACACATATTATCAACCGAAAGCACAATTAATTATAAACTAATTGTAGAGATTTGAAATGGAGTAAATTTTATGTTAAAGATCGTCATTAGTATAAAGGATTCTTCTCCCACTAAATTCAGTTTTCAAATATTAGTGCGTTGAATCCTATGAGCTAATCAATTTTCGTATTTATTGAGTTCTCATCAGCGATTCATTTGCAAACAAAATAATATTCCCCCTCCCTCTCAACTTTTTTCATTTTGATGTTCCTCCCCTCCGTGAAGCCTGAAGTCAATCAAAGGGCTAATGATAACTATCAAAACGCCTGGCATTGGATACAATATTTGTTTAGTGAAAATCTGATCGTATATAGTACGGCGCTACAATAATAAGTGAGATCAATTATGATAAATCAAAAAATAATTTTCCGTTTTTTTGCCATTTTTCTTATGAATTGTGCTTCTAATGAGAAGCATTTCCTTCAAGGTCATACAACATTTGTAGGAGGCGGAGCTCCCATAAAAGTTCCTCCATAGTACCCTCTTTTTCCTCAAATTAAGTGCTGTTTACATACAATCGATCCAATACAACAGAGAAACAATGAAGTGAGGGATCGAAAGAGGAAGACAAAAAAAGTGATTTCCGGAAATTAAGTATGAATTAGTTCAAATATAATGAGGACTATGCCAACATATTGAACAACTGTGCATAAAAGGACAGGAAGCCATCAAAGAGAATGGGGTTTAGCCTAGATCATACTGTATGACACCGTACCAATTACGACAGTTTAACTAGACACCTTTGACAACCTGCAGGAAGTCACGTACCATAAAAAGAGTTAATTGCGTCGTCTGGTACTGCGAGCCCGGATACCACAAGCTCATAGAACCCAAGAAAAAACAAGACCTAACAAGAGGGATGCACTAAGTCTCGAATCTTTCTGTCCCGAGAAGACACAGTAAAACAGAATTAGTTGAACTTAAGGGGTATTGAATGTTTACTAATGACTTAATTGACTCATTTTCCTAATAGAAAGGAATTCTTTTTAGCGATGAGTAGAATATTTCATATAAGACAAGGCAAAGATAGAGAGACTTTTCTGGTACTTTCAGGGGCTTAAAATCTTCTATTGTCTTGCTGAATAGATAGCCATTATAGTAAACTAGGGAAAGTAGACATTTATAAAATGCGGACAGCGGCACAACACATCAGAATTGGTTAGCCCAGAGAATTCAGTATAATGAGGACAAGTAAACCAATTAATGCATCAAGGCGTGTATACCGAATAAATAACAGCTTGGTGCAAATGTTACGGTCTAATTAATTGTCTCTCATTAAGACGATAGTAAATAAAAAATGTGTCCAAAACATAACATTCAACTGGCTGTGACACAAAGTAGGCATCGCACGAGACAGACGACGCGCCTCGACAGAAAACCAAGGATACCTCATTTCTCGAAGTCCCAAACGCCTTTTGCAACCTCATTTTAACGTTAGAAATTTGGTACTGTCTTTTTATGACCTCAAATGAAAACGAGAAATTCATGTGCAATTGTTTGCTCCTTCTCTAACATAAACGACAAATCCAAGAGAAAATATTTCTAGAATGTTGATATTTGGCCATCGTGTGTGCGTACGGGACATTTGGAATGACAACGGGTGTCACTAAATATGCCGGTTTTCAATGTACATCATGTGAAATTGACAAGCCTTCGACATTTCGGTTAAAAAATAGTGAATTCCATGAGGTAAATAGGTTTGAAAGTAAACTTTGCTCTGAGGAATTGGGTTAAATTTAATGGTTGTGGATAATGAACAATAATTTTAAGAATGGGGATGTAAAGGACAGAGGGTTGAAGAAATGCCCCCCCCCCCCGCAAAATGGCACAAGTAAAATAAATATCGCGATTTAATCAACTCAGCAATGCAAAAAAACTTTAGGACACCCTGCGCATGTTACAGAGGAGGAAGTGACTAAATTGTATCATTAAATTTAATTCCCTTAGATGAGAGACGAGATTGTTGAGAAGGATAAACACAGTGAAAAGTACTTACTGCATCTAATTAACACCTAGTTACATGTGAAATCAGTCACGATGTAACAGAGTTTGCACCGTGCTTATAGTGGTCCCTGATTGTAAAGCGTTGAGAATCGTCTAAATAAGGTCATATTTTCAGAGAGGAGAGAGTAATGAAATGTTTAAAACAGTCTAGTGATATTTATCCAGAGATTATAAAAGTCAAGTAGAATAACAAATGGAAATTTATCTTCTGAAAGTGAGGATGTGCTCAGAGTCGAATATTTTCATTTTACCTAACAGCATCGAGAATGAATTCAATTTGACCGCATCGCATCCCTTACATACCTGCACACACTTAAACCAGTATTAACTATCGCCAATTTGATTGCTTGAAAACACCACTTACCCCTATCTAGCAACAATAAATCTATGGAATTTGACGCTTTTCTCATAGATGCATGTGAATTACGATTATTTCATGTCATAATTATTACATTAAATACCCTCCTCCCCATTTGTTTGCATTTTTGCAGTTGTTCATGGATGAACGATTCGAATACGTGATCAAGCGAAGTGCTTTTATCTAATAACAACAGGAGAGTAGTTTGAAGTAGATGGATGGATGTGATTGACGGAGCATAGGCAATGGAAAAGTAAATTATAAGGATAACTAATTTAACATTTTCGGTGAGATCAAAAAGTACAACTCGCAAAAATTTTATCACTCGAGTAGATTTATCGGTTATTAGATTACAACATAAACACCTGATCATCAACACCGTCTGGGAACACCCCGTTGTTGCAAATATTGTCTAAAAGGGCAGCCGGTCACTTTTTGCCTAAGAAAAACCATCGTTAGAGCCAACTTTCCTCTCTTCCACCCCCCCTCCCCCCCCCGCCCACCCTGAATTCTGAGTGTCATGCAGCTTTATCAAGGGTAACTGAGGCGTTACAAAAATCAATGATACACTTATGAAGATTGAACGAGGAAATATATATATATATATATATATATATATATATATATATATATATATATATGTATGTATTCTCGAAAAGATTTAATTAATATTATTAGTCATTTAATGAGTTTGATTTAATAAAATAAGAAAATATAATGACAATTGACGGGAAATTATGAATGAGTCAAGTAATCAACCAATAAGGGATCCTCACATGTACTGCCTAATGTTCATTTATAATATTTCTTGTCAATGTGCTTCTACTTTTCGACCTAGAAGATAATATCCCAAGCAGAGATTCCAACAGTGAACAAAATACAAGTTAATTGCACAAGATATTTAACTATAAAATTAGATTTGACGGCTGATAACTTTCTTGGTAGAAAACATAAAGCAAATGAGGATCAACTGTCAGTTGAATCACACCTTTACCGACTAACTCGTAGCTTTTAACAAGATGGTTATTTTGAATAATTGTTTTCAATTCCGCGTAATTTTGTTCGTAAGCATTTTCTGACACCCTGGACAGTGAGTAACTTTAGTCCCGCACAAACCGGTAAAATTTAGTAGCAAAAAATGAGAATAATCTTTAAAATGCGATGTTTTTAGTGAGAATAAATCTTACGCCGACTAATTAAAAGTATAGATACACGCGAGCAAATAATGGAGAAATATGATTGGTTCAGCCAACAGCCAATAGAACTAATATAATACTAGGTTACATAAATTCCAGTCAATAGGGTTGTAAATGTCGATATTAATCGCCACCCTGAGCGAAGCGATGTGGTCTGTAGCCATAGTACAATTAATTCGTCAAAATGAAATTGAAAATTCTATTGTAACTTACTTCAAACTGACGTGGTATATTTATTCTGCCTCGTCGATAAAATCGCGTGAAATTGATTCCAAAATGTAGATAAAATCCAGAGTATGTAATGATATTATTAATTCTAGATATGTGCATCCTAAAAACTTAATTAAAAAGTAGTAAATTACGGTTTAAAAGAGAATCTTTAGAGTGGCAAAGTATTTGGAAATCCCGGGGTAGGGCGGAAGCTATTTGCACGCCAGAGACCACGTGATGGCAAAGTCATAGCGAATAATTATCGTCAATGCGAAAATAACCAATAGGAAATGCTGAAATCTGTTAGAGTGCATTCGTATGTTGCTAATCTAGCCTTTTTTACTAAGACATAAACAAAGGGTAGATTATACGCTGACGTTCCTTTGAAGCATAGTAGGAGAGAAAGAAGTGGATTGGAGAATGCGGTACGGGTAATAGAACCTGCTTAAACCAACACAGTTCCAGTTTAAGATTAGGAAAAGGCGAAACTGTGGAAAACGTTGCTTAATGAAATTCAACGGAAATAAAGAGAGAGAAATGTAGGCAGAAAAGTTGGTTGATAGTTCGGTGGTCAGACTATTAGTGCGATGGCATGGTTAAATTTACTTATTTCAAATGGCAGGCGTTTTGATAGTTGATAGCTGACTTCGGGCTTCACAGAGAGGAGAGGAGTGCACTACATGGAGGTAAACCAATCGCATACCCACAGCATGGTTATATAGATTTTAAAATGTTGTTAAATCTAAGAGAGATGTATAAGTACGTAGTGGATTATGAGCATTCATGTTGCAATGGCTGAAAATAACACAAAGATGGAAGGGATTCCAGTGTTAGCTAAGTTTCGCAATATTTATCTATATCAAATGGCAGTCTTTACGGCAGTTATCATTGGTAATTTAGCTGACTTCTGGCGTTACAGAGGGGAGGAACATCAAAGTCACAAAAATTTGAGAGGAGGGGGGACGGATGAGTGATTCAAAGATTTAAAAGTGACAGTCACAAAGGTAGAGAATAACGTAACTGAAGGTGAGTACTGTGGAAGTGATTGAATATGAAATACAGTGGGGTCATGATAGTTTGAAGTCAGAAGTCAACTGCCAGTTAACAGACTTTGTTGCCGTATGAGCATACATTGCCTAGAGTTTACCACGCGGAGGTAAATCTCTCGCTCACCCAGGCTTTACAATACTCAGATCACAAAAGAGGTCTAATAAGATTATCAAAACTCAGATAAATGTGAAGCTCTTAACAAACGTCTACTTCAAGATGTAGTACACTGAGATTTGTGCTGACTAAAGTATATTATATAAACCAAGATATGGATTCGAGGGAGCTGAAGAGGAGATAAGTGCACGAACAGGTAAAAAACTAGTGTCAACATCTACGGGATTGAAAATACAATTAGAGCTGATATGAGTCACCTGGTCAAGCGTGAGATATAAGTGCAACCTATCTCTAAATAAAATGCAGTAGATATTGAAACGATCACCAATCAACAAGCTCGTCTGATCATGACGGAGAGGAATTTGTGCCACAGGTGAATAAATACAGTAGTACAGCATCACGAAAACAGAGCCAAACGGTTGTCATAGTGAGTAGTGATGACAACTTTACCAGTTTCTTTTTTTCTGATATATGTGTAAATGAATTGGTTTAACATTCAATAGACGATGATTATTGGCCAGTTTGAGGCATTTGAATTCTGTTATAGGAACACCAACCAAATTACCTTCTATCATAAATAGGCAATTAAGATTTTTCTAAACATATTCGTTTTCAATTTGAACTTTACAACTTTAAATATGGCATGGTCATCATTTATTACGTTTCAATGATATCCACTTTTGTACTTCACGCCTACTGGAACTTTCAATTAAAGTTCAAGCCTCTCTATCACCATTTGTTTATATTTGCATGGTACCTGATAAGCATTCTATTCGTCTGTACTATTATCTGTAATTAATCTCAGTGACCCCATTTCTTGATGGGCTAATTTGCAGAAAAAAATTAACTACAGGAGAGAATAACTTAAAGTTCCTGTGGGCTGATATCATAAGACTGGCCTTTGCTAAAGCATTTAAGCTGTGTTTTAGTTTCAATCATCCACTGACACCCTCCTCTGTGATTCTGCAACGACCTGATTCATGGCGAGAAGTCCACGCAAGAGTTCTAATTCCAGTTTCACTTTAATTATCCGACTGGCCAACATCCTTAAATTCCTTATTTGTTTATCTCCTTCTTTATATTGTAATCACCCGTCGAAACTTTCACAAGGACTCGATCTTCCATCTTCTTTCTACACTCTTCCTCTTATAGTCTCTGGTCCTCTCCCAATGAACTCTTTTACCTTGTGTTCAACTTATTATATGGTGAAGATCGGTTAGTAATATAACTTCGGGTGAGGAAGTAGGATTTATTTTCTGAACTCCCCTAACACAAGAGATATAAAACACAGCCGACATCAAGTTAAACCCAATCTCTTGTCCTCCCTATCTTTCTCTCACTTGCAGTTCCAGGATCTTCCAAAAGCGTCCTACATTGTGTGAGGAAAGTGGTAAAGGTATCAGAGGGGTCTTAGACTTCTCTCTTCCTCAAAATCATTCAAATTGATTGGAAAACTTGGAAGATTCCGGACCAATTTTCTTTTATCAATATATTTTCACGTAATTGATAAATTTGACACGTTTTAGTATTGCAATGCACTAACTGCTTTAAGAACCGGAGGATTAAATGTTAGATGAAAAATATCTAAATATGGGCACATTTTATATTACTTTGGACACACATAAGGACTGAAATATATATTATTCCTATTATTGTAGTTTGTAATTTATCAACCAAATCGTTTCTTTTGGATGATATCATCGATGCTTTTCATGGGAATTTCACTACAGTTGTTTAAGCTACTTTTAAACTGATTTTTTCGACGGTTAGGTTTCTTGGAATACGCCAAATCAGCTGCTTCTTTAAAGGACCAACCGTACTCCCACGAACAGGGAAGAATAAAGTTGTATTTGTCCTCAGGGTCTTTTTTGTTCCTCAATTTCAAATATCTTGCTCTAATGGTTGAATGGTACACGCGTTAATAATTTAATAAATTAATGTTTAATAAGTAAATAAGTGGTGCTCAGTTTCAGTAATAAATTGTGAATGGCCAATCTTCAAAATATACTACCATTTAGTTACCCAATTGGAAGTTAGCCTTGCTAAACAATGGAGAATTTGAATAAAATTGCCTTGGGTCAGTCGGATAACTAATGCATCAAAAAGTGGCTAAAGATGTGAAAAAAACCCAACGTTCAAATTGATAAGAAATTGTTAGAAATAGAAATTAACCAATGAAATTTAATGAGAAGCTCAACGTCTATATGTAGGAAAGCTAACGGGACATTAAAAATCTTGTTCACGATCATAGGTTAGTTTTGGTATTAGGATGATCGATTCTTAATGCCGATTCTAATGTCTTGACAGTTAGCCACTTGATCCTCGTAATCAATAATGTCTCAAGACATTATTGATTTGAGGTAAGGCATACACGTACGCAGAGTATCCCAATGCAAAGTCAATCTGGGAGCCCAGTGTGGTCATTGTCTAGGTCAGCCAACATAGTCTTTGGTTGATATCGCTCATGGTGGAGATGAGAGGATGAGGCAGGTAGCCACTTGCTCTATTCACTTGTAATTTTAATGTTTCATGTTGCCCATTTCAATCTTCGATACGTCAAATGGACTTTATATTACGATAATTACACCCATTATTAGAATATGTACTCCGCTGAGTTAAAATGCACTGGAGTAAAAAAACTTATGGCTTTACTTTCTAGATCGGATTAAAGTGTAGCCTGATGATATACAGTAGGACAGATATATAATTGTAGCAGAATTTTGATTTCATAGTATTAGAACAGCGTTGAAATAGTCTACCTTATAAAAAGATTATGTGAAGAAAAGCCGAAAAGTTCACGGCAAAGTGATACAATCTAAATACCTAAACTACAACGGTCATTAGGTTAAGACTTCTAACTACAAGGGACACTAACCTTCCCCCATCTTCAGCTGAAATTCCTTCGTATAATGTCGCTTTCACTTCTGGCGTTACTGGTCGCATTATTGCCACTGATGAAGAACTTTCAAGATCCAACCCATTTCTTTCAATCTCCTTCATTCGCTTTTCATACTCTGCTTTTTCTTTTTCTCTTCTTTCCTCTGCAGCTTTTAATACCGCTACACAGTTCTCATGTTTAAGACTATTCATTTCCAACTTTTGACGAAGTACTTGGGAGGCCGTACCCACACTGTCTGGTGAACAGTAAGTATCCTTGTGTTTGACAAAGAACTTGTAGATTGCATCTTCCTCTTTCTTAATCTGATCCTTGTAATTTTGAGTAAATTGTATGCTATCCAGAATGTTTCGGGCCATTTTGTAAAATAATCACACACAAAGTCAAGCATGCTGGAATATTGATTAGCAATCTGACCTTGGAATTCATTGTTGGGGGGAGGGGGGTTAGGAGGAAAAGTGACTTTCATTTTAAGAATTTCTTGGATTAATTATATTTTAACTTAGATAATTATCACCTAAGTATATGCTCAATTTCGCTTATTCCCATTAATCTTTGCTTTGAATTTAGTAGTAATGAAATTATTGACAGCAGAGAAATTATTATTATTAAATCAACGATAGCCTTCAGATTGCCTAGGCTTTTCAGAAAGCAAAAACTCGGTCGCATACATTTTTTCTGATGGATCAATAAAACAAGATCGGTTAGTAATAAATTAACCGGTTCAAAATGCCATACTGTCGCTTTATAAGTAGTATAGCTGTTAGTTATTACTTAAATGTGTTTGTTTTGAAGTCGATAGTGAAAGGCAGTTAAAATGGGATAAGAAGCTACCCAAAGCTCCCCTTTTTAAATCAAGCAATTGTAATAAGTTAGTAACGAACATGTGTCTTAATTCATCCTCCCAAATTACACTTGTCAAGTATGCAATTTTCAACACCCTCATTCTCTCCAATGTCTTTGCTCCACCTGACAGCACCTCCAACAGCACCAGTCTAAATGTTCCGATAAAACAAATAATGATCCTTCTTTTCTGATTTCTTGTGGTTTCTCCCTCCAATTTTTTCAAGCAAGAGAGCAGAACCAAGAAAAGAAATAAATTGAACGCAAAATTGTCTGCTGTAATACATTCTGTAGTGACTAATAAGCCTTGACTATACTCCAAATCCTCCATGGCAGATTCCCCTATGCTTAGAAAGATTCCCAGAACTAGTTAAGCTACTGCAAAGCTATAGGGGAACAGACGTATTGTACGGAACACATTTATTTGGGATGTGTGTGAGTGGGTGCGTGTAAGGACAAGGAGCTTAGTCATTATACTAATATAGCGTATTTGATAAACTAAGCGAGGACTATTGATTGGTGGTTAGCTGTGTTTTTCCGCGTTCATGGCCTCACTTACTTCCTACGCGAAGTTGCACGGTCGTACAATGTTCTGCGCCCACAATTCGCACTCAGCTCCACTATGGGTAAAACTCTTCGTGTTGGTGGGTATATATGGATTTCCTCTTAAGTGACATCCTTTCTAACTTTTCATTTGTTGACGCTCCGTCCACCACTTTTAACTATTCCCATTAATAGACCCTGGCCTTTTATAACGCTACACTGGGTCCGCTATGTCTCTGTTAAAGTCACGTGCTGAGTTCTAATCGCAAAGCTCATTACGTCTATGTCACAACCCTGCTATTGTACATCATTCCGAATTTCCTGCCTTATTTATGATCACAGTTTCCAAATTTTAAACTGCTTATACAATATTTAATAATCAACTAAAGGTTAAAATGTGAAACCCCGTGTGCCAATAAGAATATATACAAATATAGGTGAATGAACGAGAAGTGATATCATTGTGATCAAAACAAGAGCGAACTGTTGAAAGAATCATATCAAATATAATATGATAAAAGTGCGCAACGGTTTACTGTAATGATAGTAGAGGAAAAGAGGACTTTGTGTTGAGTGTTGTTCAGATCACAGGTTTTCATCAGTTGAATAAACATTCGCATTGATTTGAGGACTAATTAAATTGTCAACTCATCCTACTTCCAATTTTAAGTAGCAAGGCACTTTGTGGATTACATCCTTTTATTTCCTTCCTATTTCCTTTTTCTAATTGGTTAGCCAATGAGGAGCTAGTTTCTTGCTTTTTACACACAACGGTCTTAGTGAGGACGTCGAAAGCAAGATCTTGTGCTTTTTAGCAATAAAAAGAGAGAGAGGGGGGAGGGGCAGGAGGCCTGAACCACAATACCTTCTATTATTCTATCGGTGTAGACAATGAAATACCCTTAAATTGCGTTAAAGGTGGGAAATTTCGGAAAAATCCTCAAAAAGAGAATTTTCTTTCCCTTTCTGACTAACCCTGAGGCGAACACAATATATAGAGCAATTTAAAAGTATGGTATACTTTTTTCAATGTTTTTCCACTGATTTAGTCAGTGGAGCTTATGAAAGTGTCATTTTTGCGCATCGGAGCAATAGACAGGGGGAGGGGGAGGGGGGGGGGGGGGGGGGGGTTAAAATTTGATCAAGTGGAATTGGCCATTTTGAGAGCAGAGGCTTTCCAAAATTTTGCACTGATAGTCATTTAGGTATATTTATGGCAGATATTACTTCTGAATCAAATGCAAAAACACTTTCCCACTTAGTTTGAAACAAATTTCGCTTTTAATCATTCTCCTTGGCAGGAGACTCTTTGCAACTCAACACTTTTGCCTATATCTTTTCTCTTTAACTCACTCTCCTGCACTTCCATTCTCATTAAATCTTTTTTGCCGTTGATTCAAACCTTTACTTGGCATACTCTAAACCTTAATTGTCCCTCCAATTTGGGAGGCTCCATTCTTCATTATTAACTTTCTCAATCTTAGGTCATCCCTACTTCTTAGGGAGGTCTTCAAAGTCTATTCTCTGAACTACTTTAAGTGTCATTCCTTAGATCGATTTCACGATGCACTGGATGAAGTGACATTAGATACTTTCTCAATGGAGATGAGTATTTCATACTTTTGCTAATAAGAACGTAAGTCCAATTGAGCCTTTACAGTAATACAAACAACACAATGCCGTTATCTAGACAATATTGACTTATTTCTACTTTCTTGGGTAGGCCATTTAAGAGTAAACTGGGAAGCCATCTGCTTAACCTGATAAAATGGGAATACATGCATGCATTTGTATGGAGCTGTCTATCTATCTCATCAAATCGGTCCACTTCAGAATACTAGAGGGTGAATACTGTTATTTGTTAATGCCAAATAATATTTAGTTTCAATAACAAAGCCTTATTGTTTTGTGATAAGGTTATCCAAATTCAAGACGCATTCTGCTGAAATAATGATAACATGTTCTCCTGATATGCTCATCTCGTCTTACCAAGTTAGATTATGAAAGATTATTCTTATTAGCATATTCATCTTTTATATTATAAAGCCTTTGGACTACTTGAAGTGTCATTGATTATTGAGAAATATAGAGGTAAATTGAATTATTTCATTCAGAGCTTTTTCCAGTTTTTCTTCATGGCGCACAGGAAGCGAATCGCATAAAACAGTAGAGGTATAAGTAGCGAATAACTTACGTATACCAGCATTGAATAACGTTAGATGTCGGAGATAGATCGAGAAAGTTTCAGCTATTTAGAATTACAAATGCCTCATTGGTTCTATCCAAATTATATTCGATATATGGGGTGTGCGGTAGACTTACCTCTACGTGGTACACCCTGGTCAACGTATACTCATACGGCAAAAAAATCTATAAACTGGCAGTTGACTTCTGACTTCAAACTACCATCGCCCTCATTGTATGTCATTTTCGACTACTTTCACATTACTCATATTACCGTTTCTCTACTTTCATGTCTGTCTCTTTTACATTATTGAAACACTCTTCTGTTTCCCCCTCTCGACTTTTTTTCACTTTGATGTTCTTTCCCGTCTGTGAAGCCTGAAGTCAATTAAAGGGCTAATGATAACTATCCATTTGATATAAATAAATATTCGATATATACATGTGAGTTCATGCAATTAAAAATCAATTCATCATATTTCCAATATGGCGAGAATATTTAATCATCTTTCTTGAAAAGTTGACGTATTTCAGGTAAACCTTTGAAAATAAATGTTAAAATTGGGGTAATTTTTAGAAATAATGAGTTTTAAAAATATTTACCATGCAATCTTTGAATTCTTAGCCTAAATTTCCTCCCACTTTTACCTTTAAAATAATTGTGGCATGTTGCCTGCTGACAGCAAACTCAAACTGATATATGTTCAAATTTTAGAAATTGTAGTGAATACGCGTGGCTATTCCTAATTCTCAACCTTTGTTTAAATCAATCGATAGCTCTCGGCAGTGAATTAACAAACTTGCATTTTTACCTTGCTTTTACGCCACCACCAACAAAAACGCTAGTCGCTGAGTAGAGATGCAGGATGCGAATGCAATAAAGGTGGAGGAGAGGCAAGGAAAATTACAAAAGATGAATAAGCACTCTACAACTTTTCAAACTAATGTTTTGAGTAATGGAATGTTCGGCCTCAACTTGAATAACGAGGAGTTCATTTCAACCACAAGAAAACTACTTCGATGCACAGTTTGTCTGGAAGATTCCGAGGATGTGAATCAGTGCAAAAATGGACATTTGATCTGCCAACACTGTACACATAATCTTAAGCTTCGCTTAGAGCCTGATGATACGCAAGGTAAATGTCCTACTTGTCGAATTCCCCTCTTTCCTGGGATTTCTCGTTGCCTACTCGCAGTTCAGTTGTTTTCTGAGCTGCCAAGAATGTGCACCCACTGTAAACTCACTATTCGCCAGGGTGACCATGAAGATCATCAAAATAATCTCTGCCCAAAGAGACCAGTTAATTGTAAATACCAAATCTTTGGATGCCAATGGAAGGGAAGAGCCGCCGATTCAAAGAGACATCATATTTTGTGCGAAGTTTCGAAGAAAACCGTTAAAGACGTTGAGAGTATAATCAGGGAGACATTTAATGAGCACGAGAAACTCGCTTATTACTACTTTGAATCTTGGGGTGAAACACTTAATATTTTGAACGGGCACCCTTTAGGTGCCTTCATAGCAATTCGGGAAGCTTCATTGTCTCAAGTTACTGAAGAAAGTAGAGGAAAAGTGCTTCGGTTTCGGGGGACTACTCCAGAGTTAGCCTTATCTGGGCGAGGTGATACAACTTTGGAACTTACTATAAGGCTTGATGACTTGACGCTCTCCTACCGAACAAAATTTCCGCCTCAAGGCATGTATGAAATGAGACTTCGTCTGATTACGATAGACTGTAAAGAAGTTTTTATTCCAGTTATCGATAAGTTTCGTTTACCTAATGTGAAAAATTCCCACACGTGGCAGGAGTTTCAAGGTCAGTTGAATGTTCCTCCCGATAAACAAACGGAGTTTATTAATGTATTTTTAAAATTAGCATGTGAAGGGGGCTCTGGTTTTATGGTGAGATGTCAATTTCTGGTGGTGTTTGAAATGTCTTACTTAGTACAGACGATCGAGATTGGTGGCCAGGAACACAATGCTAATACAACTACAACTTTATTAAATCCTCAGCAGACAGTTATCAATGCAAACACAAATCATGTCAGTAATCCCGAATCAACACCGCAGACAATGCCCGTAAATGAAACCCCAAGTCATCAAGAAAATACCAGAGAAAGTGGTGCTATTGGAAGATCGGAAGCTGATAACCGTATTTCAACGTCCAGTAATGAAACAACAGATGAAGAATATGAGAGTTTGAGTGAAGATCCGCCTGCCTTAGCCATGCAAAACAACAATGCACTAGAAGAAGAGAATATGGAAGATCACACTACTCAGAGTCTGCCTAATTCAGACAAAAGTGAACCACACTCTAGAAACTCGGAGTCTAGAGCGTGCGTACCTTTGAATAGGCGAAGAGGATTGAGAGCGGCGAAAAGCCATAATAGCTACATAAATGGTGTAGCTTCTTTGGTTGAAACGATAACTCCCTATATAACCAGGGGTCATATGTGGCGCAATTATGAAATTCTCAGGGGAAATGCCTCAGTGCCATTTCGACTTCGTAGATCGGCAAGAAATAAATTCAAATCTAAATCGAGTGATAATTTACAAAAGTTATCCTTGATGAAATTCATAGTTGAGAAGTGGAATGACTTCCGAAAGAATATGCTGGGAATCGGAGGTTGGGGAAAGTCGATGATCTTAAGCCCTTGTGACAAAATTAAAAATGAAACAAAAACAGAAAAAAATGAATAACTGCTCCCAGCAACGAATATTCCAGAACAAATTTGTACTACAGTCACATTCGCTAGTGCTTTTTTTAAAGTTCGTCCATTTTAAATAAACTTTATCCTGTGAAATATCCTGCTAATGTGACGAGAACCTTGGGTTGCGTAGCCATTTTCTAGAAAACGGTATCTAATTTTTAGAAAAAATTAACTGAGTTATATTTACGTATTCTGAAGTTGACAGGGTCCTATAATTTACTCACAAATACAACATTGGTCTACTTTGTATAAAGGTGTTAGTCAAAACTTAGACGATATATGAAATACATCTTTTGAATAAACAATTACGGCATCTTCAAGAAATTACTTTGATTCAGAGTGGGAATGGGGTTGTTGAAGACAGTGGAGGAGACGCAGTCTAAATAGGCATGTATTAAGAAACATTTAATTGATTCTGAAATATAGAATGAGCATAAACGGTTAGGTTTGTTTAAAGCAGCATGATTATGCCCTTGAATTTCTATAGACTCATCGTATCTCCATGTAGTGCAGGCGATGGCAAGGGTTACTGTGATGGCTGGCGAGGTTTCCAGTTTAGTCTTTTCTGGTATTTATTGATATACTCAAATATTTATATCAAATGTCAGGCTTTATGATTATTATCATTAGTCCGTCAGTTGACTTCGGGCTTCACAGAGAGGAGAGAGGAACACTGAAGTCGCAATAAAGTCGAGAAGGGGAACAGAGGAATGACTCGCAAATACAAAAGAGACAGATACAAAGGTGGAGAAAAATGTAAGGTGAGTACTGTGGGTGCGGTTGAATACAATATACTGTTGGGTCATGGTAGTTTGAATTCGAATGCCGGTTTATGGATGCTTTTCGCATGAGTGTACGTTACCCAGGGTACTCACCGCCTCAAATACATGATCACATTCATGCATTTGAAGAATAAATAATATATGTAACCGAGAATGGTTTCTTCTTCCTTGACCTGCACTTTTGTAAACTCTTGATATTTACAGATCTTTATTGCGAGTTGCTTTGTTATCTTAACCAGCCAGCCAGCCATAAACCATTTTAGGGTTTTTTTAAAGTCTTCCAAATATTTAATTTAAGTTTACTATATGACGTGCATCCTCCTTTGGAAAAATAAATTGGGCTTGGCATATCCCACCTTCTAATATTTAAAAAAAGGAATGACAAACAGTCAAAACACTTCTTTAATGTGACTTAAACTTGTTGCGTTAGGCTGTCCAAAAGCACACAAATTCAAACAGATGGCAATTATGTAATTGCAATTATTAAGATTACTTGCATTGATTCGTGTTAAAGTCCATGTAACTAGAATAGGACTTTGAGAGGGATAATGGAAATTGAGGGGACAAAAAATAATTCGGGTATATTTAAGAATCATTGCAAACACGGGTCTATCCCCACCAGTAAAATGCGCCCAAAAAAGAGAAGGCGTTTACTATCACGCGGGCACGCCCTAAGTGATTGATTTGAAGTGGAGTAAATCAGCGTAGACCACTTCTAGGACGACTAAATGACAAGGACCCTTCTAGTTAACCATCCAGGCTTCTCGTTACATCGAAATGGGCTTGTTGAGTCCCAAACTCTGCCTAGCGGTATTAAAAGTAAGTTCTTGACACCGTTCACAATACCTTTTAGAGCTTTACAGGGTCATCAGTAGTTAGATTATTGCTCACACGAGAGGGCCATAAAATGTTTTCGTCAGGCTCATAAAAGCTGAAATATCAGCGCTAATCTAAAAAATACCATTTCGGATGTTCTAACGATTTATATGCTCTTTAGGAAGCCTCTCCATACTCTGAGAATTGGCTCAATCTGCAATAATGCGAAAAAGCTTCCCACATAAAACGGCAGTATTTCCCCCCCCCCCCTATTTTGCTCCTTCATTTCGACTTTCCTCTTATACCGCGATCTCACTTCCGCATCAGCCCATTCCCATGGGATTGGCTAAATAATCTGCCAATAGTCATTGAAAAATTTAAGCAAATGAGCGTTCAACTTTCTTCCTCCACATTTCACCAGCTCAGATCTTATCCTTTTAGGACCGAAGTGGATGCAAGCAGTTAATCTCCAAGAGTTGGACCCAGTTCAGGAAAAAGACATCGAAGTCAATTAAAATGGTCACGAGAGTACTTTACTGAACTAACAGAGTCACGCTTTCTTCAGCCACTTTAAACGTGCTGATTCGGTCTAATTCTGTTAGAAGGGACACTAAGATATAGACAGAAATTCAAGTGCTTTTGATGAGTCATTTTTTATGAGGGCTTGAATACTTCCGGTTGGTTCTTCAATGAAGATCGTTTGGCGTGTTTAAAAAATTCATCCCATTCCACTTTATTCCCTTATATAAGCTATGCTATCTTCACGAAGGTGTGGGTCTTGAAAACAAGATATTATAGTTTGTATCGCTTTCTTGACTAATGAAATCCTGGTAGTTATCCACTCGTGTGTTTCAATCATGTCAACTCTCTGAATGGAGGCTCGAGCTTAGAAGCGCCGTTAAATCTGAAGATTTTCATCTTCTGTGACAGTTTAAGTCGTGTAACACACGTTTTCAGCTATCAGATATTGTTGGACCCAGTGTGAGAAGGCCCGTGCATTTAATTATATTTTGATTTCCGGAATAGTGGAAAAAATTCATTCTTGAAAATTCGGCAGATAGACACTACCATGTCAGTTTTAGAGTATCCATCTTATCGGTACTTTCAAATTATACCGCTGATAGAGGATCAGAAGTCTTTTCACGGGGTGCACCCTGGGCAACGTATTCTCCTACGGCAAAAAAGTCTATTAACCGGCAGTTGACCTCTGACCCCACTGTATGTCATATTCGACCACTTCCACAGTACTACATCACAATTTTTCTAAATTTTCTACCTTCGTCTTTGAAACACTCTTCTGTTCCCCTCCTCTCGACTATTTTCAATTTGATTTTCCTTCCCCTCTGTGAAGCCTGAAGTCAACTAAAGGGCTAATGATAACCATCAAAACGCCTGCCATTTGATATAAATATATTTGTGCCTTTATCTCTTTGATAAGAGACAAAGTTTGCTAGATTTAGACATCTAAGTACGTAAACAGTAACTTGATGGTGCATACAAAACATTTTCAA